AACTTCCCGAACTTCGAGGGCCAGTATTTCACGGGGTTAGCTACATTGACTCCTTGCGATCTCGCTACGGTACGGAAAGTGCAAAAACGCATAATCGCACCGGCCCCCCTGGTGCGTTCCAGCCTGGGTTCCTTTTTGCACTGCTTGGCCTAATTAAGGCAGCTGTTTAAACTGTAGACGAATTTTTCTTTTTTAATTGAACTGTTAAAAGCTACTTTAAAAGTTAATGAGAAGAAAACAGAGTGTTATTTTTTTTAACAATTATATTCAGGTATTTTGATGAACCTCCGTATCCGTGCGACCCGAGTATGATGCCATCTTTCCCGCAACATCGAAATCGTAAACGAAGAAGAAGTGGTAGTTGATGCGAGATGCCTGGAAAAAATCCGTATTTATATTTCCATCAGTAGTGTTTCTAGATTTTTTCAAAGGCGTATGATTTCACTTTGGTCAGCACTGTTTAATTCAGCCCCCTTTAGTCTTGAAGAATGCCCTTGTTCGAAGCAAAGTCGTGAAACAGTATACAAAGGAAGGGAAATTTTTCGCTGGAAAATGTTGAAAAATAATACTCGAGTGGGGACTTCTTTCCAGAGAATTACCTTAACTCATTTCGAAAACCTGCGATCATTTCATGTTTTTATGCCTGTTTACACCAAAATGAAATGCTAAAATGCATAGTGACGAGAGGTTATCGGTGTGTGTGTGTGTGTGTGTGTTTTTTTTTGCGGTTTTGAGGACTACTTTCAACATGGTAACTGGGGAATGTAGAAAATTATTAGAAAAAAAAAGTAATGGATTTTAATTCCAATTCGGCATTTGAAAAGAACAATTCGTTGGTTCAGCGGTCGCAGCACTTCTCCTTCCTCTTTCGTCAGGGTTCTCGACAAACCTAGTGTAGTATAGGTGTCGTTAGTTTTGCGATTTTTTATTACTTTTTACTTTCTTATTTCTTATTACTCCTACCTTCGTTTATTGCGTGTCTTACGACTGATCCGACACCGTTCTATTGTTTCACATTTCTTTCATCCTTCTCTTTAACAGCTCATTACCTGGCTTAATAAATGGCGCTTGGGGGTGGGAGCTGTGCTGATGATTTCCACCCCTATCCGTATCTAATTGCTGGCTGCGTTTATAGGTCAGGGATGAAACACAGGCAGGTTTTTTTTACATAAATCTTTTTTACAAGATACTACAGCGTGATCGGTTTCATTCCACATGCTGTTAGCCTTACAATCCTTTTTTCTTATTCATTCCTTCTACTTTCCTTCTTTCATCATTTATAATTTTTCATCTTAACAGTACTGTATCCCGGGCCCTACTCCTTACGATTTCAGTGCATGTTGCGCGACCGAGCCCTGCTGCGCCAAGCCGTGTCATTTTTTAGTTGTTGCGAGTCCGGACCGTTTCACATCGTACTAAAACGGACTGAGTATATTGCGGTTAGGCCTAGTTGGCACTGTTCGCTTATGATAATTCATAGAATCTGCGAAAGATGACTGCTACGATAGAACAAGTACTTCATTTTCATTCATCCTTTCAAAGAATGCAAACAGTAGTGGAAGTGAAAACATTGTGCAAGGTAAAGCGTATAAGCCAAGATTGGTGGCCACACGCGTCTTCCATCCGAATGAACCAGTGCGATATTTTTCTGGACGAATATCGCTTGCTACTAAACGTAGCGATCTTGAAGAAGGAATGGTCTTGCCGTTTGTAATTTTTTATAGTGATCTTGTGAATGATGGAACAGACGAACGTATCCCATGAGGAGAACTTCTTCGATCCGTGCACCGTACGGTTTACTTTTACTAACATTCTCTCTTGGACGGGTCTTAACAAGCTCGGCATTCATACATTCTCTCTCTTGGACGGGTCTTAACAAGCCGTCCTTCCGCGCTAATACTACTTACTACGCCGTAAGCGAAATTAAAAGTATGATTTTTGCTGTTATTAGCAAAAAATATGTTCGCTTCGGTTTAGTTATTTTTAATCAGAGTCCAGGTGTACCAATGGGAGAAAATGCCAGTTCCGATATTGCCGGCTTAACACTTTCTGTTATGGAATACCGCTGCCTTTACAAGCATAAAAGAGTGCGGTTGAAACTGTTTCGGTATATTGACGACATACTAGTTATTAACAACTCCAGTTTTCTTCCCATTGTACGGGATATTTATGGCCAGACTCTTGACCTTAAAACAACGTATAGCGGTCAACAGGTTTGTTTTCTTGACCTTGACATATCCTGTCGTAACAACAGATGTGTTTTCGATGTTTACAACAAATCACTTGACTACCCTTTCACTGTTCATCACTACAGTAGCCCCGACAGTATTTCCACCTCACAGTGCACATGGGTACTCTTATGTCCCAAATGTTGCGTTACACCCGTTTTTGTACTTCCTTCGATCGGTTGATTTGGTGGTCTCGGAGACTACTTCGATATTACTTAGACAACGGGCTAAATGTCTAACCACACCCCTAACCGCATCTTTAGTTGTTTGTGTTTACAGCTAGGGAATGAAATACAGACAAATATCCCTACATATTCTCACCACATGTGCTATCAACATTTCACATTGTTTATAGCACATGTTCCTACATGCTATCTTCCAGCTTTCCTCCTCCTCCCCCGCATTAACTTATTTCACATGAAATATTAAAGTCGAACCTTCCCATTCCCTTCTATGTATCTATGTATCGGGCCCCTAAAATTCAGTTATCTATAATATTTATCAATAATGTATGTATCGCTCCTCTAAAAGAACCTGTGTCCAAAATCTATGTTTTCGTCCTCTACAGCGTTGTATCATGAGAAGTGGGCGCTTCTTATAAAATCGGAGGTAATGGACACATCTTCGCAGGTAGCTGCGTTTGTTAAATCATCCGCGCTTTCATTTTGCAAATCCTTGTTCTTTTTTCGATTTTTTGTTCCTTTTTTGAAGCCGTTTCCGTTCTCTAGGCAAACTTTTTTGTTCGCTTTTTGTTCTTTCACTGTCTTTTTTGTTTTCACGATAAACTTTTTGCTTTCTCTATCTTTTTTGTTCTTTAGATAAACAGCTGGACGATGCCCAAGCGTTGTCAGACTAAAACATCCGGAAGGAATTGACGCTCCATCCGGTGTTGGGGTTTTGCTGCGCTCTGCAGATCTTCGGGAAGTTGCCGACGCCGGCCGAGGTAGAGCAGAGACGAGCCGAGGCTAGCCGAGCCGTGCTTTAGTAATTGCCATCTTTTGTGCATTCTCCCATTCCGGCAAAACGATCTGACTCGAGATGGTAGCAGACTTGGCGCCACTGTTCGCCGTTGTTTTCTTACCGGCTGCTTTTCCCGGTTTATTTTTTGAGGACCAGAAATTCTTCGGCAGCATCGACTAACACTTATCCACGACGTTAAGATCGGCAGTTACCATACTGTCTTCATCAACGATATTGCTGTTTCATATCCGAAGTGTATCACTGGCTTACCTTTGCATTTACCGACCAGTTTTCTCACAGAGTGAGAATTATTCTGGGATACTTTTTGGGTTATTAAAAGTTTCATCACACCTCAATTTGCGTCGATGCTCATCAGTTTGGCTCATCTGTGCTCTTTGCGGATCCATCTTGCCGGCCAAACGTCAAGCTTCAACACAGACGATGCTACGATTCATCAGACGATGCTACGCAGATTCTGTTGTCAAACGGGAACAGTGTTTATTAAAAAAATTAAACAAAACAGTTCCAGTTCAACAAATTAAACCTGCTTTACAGTCGTCGCTGGCTGGAGTTCCAATTTTCCCAAAATCCAGCCTCCAAATTCCAAATCTGCTATCTTCTAGCCCTTCGGCCACACCCTAGTCTTTTCATTCGGGCATCCAGCCACACTTCAACCATCACACAACAACCTGGCCGCACCACAACCCCGTTCTTCTCCAAACTAGCCGCCCATTAAAACTGCCCTAAAACCTTTGGGCCAAAGCTCAATTACAAAGTGCGATAAATATTTGATCACAGAAAAAATTCTCGCATTTTCTCGAGATTCCTCGACAGATTCATCATGAAAACTGTTTCTTGCTTTATTATTGAAGCGTCTTGTTTCCGTTATCGTTGCGTATTCTCCTCTCTCAAGGATGAGTTTTGTTCCTCGCGTGCGTAACATCTTGTACCTTTGGTCATTTCTATTTCTTTGCGGCCATTTATATTTAATCACTTCCATCTGTCATCTCTCGTTGGAGATTATTTAAAATTTAAGAAAGTTTTTCACGTTAAGTACCACTGAGTACTAAATATTCTAATTTGCTCAAATGGATGCCTAACCTGTCAAACGCATAATAATCCTAGACTTTTACGTCATTCATCACTACATTCTATCATCATTATGCAATTTAGAATAAAATGCGCATGAAATTTCACCTCCTCTAACTCTTTGGCTCAGCAGTTGCTGCGGAGCCTTCTCTGCTTCAGTTTTGGGAGAGATATATATTTCCTTTTTTCCTTTCTCTTCTTAAGGCACGGAGGCTGCTGCACCAACCTCCTTCGCATTAATTTGCAGGGATTACGTAAGCAGTTGAATGAACTGAAGGATACTGTTGAACGGCATGACACCAGAATAGCCGAAAATTCGCAGCGCATTGAGGTCAACGGACGCATGGCTCATTCATTCAGCGTACGCATTTTTGGATTTGATTTTGGCAAATACAGAGTGGAATCACGCGAGAATGACGGCATTACCACAGTGAAAGTGACTAGGCCCGCCGATCTTTTCCGATTACTTCTCAGCGATGGTATGCGACGATCTGAAAATGAGATAAATTCCCTCCAAATTCAAGCTCTGCATTGGGTCGGCCGTGAGCCTCACAAATTTATGGTCGTCCGTCTCCTTACATCCGGCGATAGGCGGCTGTTTGACAGCTGGAAGCGTTTCCTCTCCAAAGGCTTCGCTCCTCATGGCCGCTTAATTACTATTCGCAACGACCCGACCAAAATGCAGTATCTCTCAGCTCAACACGCGAAAGAGCAGTCGAAACGTTTGCAGGCTAATGGCGTCTACGCCGTTGCCTCCGACGACCGAATTGGTATCGGTGCGCCTCCACGCCGACTCTGGTTTCAAGCGGAATATCCGTATTTGCAGCAGCTCTTAACCTCGCCACAGCCGTATTCAACAGTGTCTACCGCCCAATATTTCAGTGATGCTTGTGACCTTTCTCAAAAAAGCGTGGTTTTTGTATTATCTTTAAATTCCTTTTTTAAAAAGCGTGGTTTTTGCTTTCTCTTCAGTTTTATTTTTCAATTTTCGTTGATTTCCACGTTACGTTGCTTTTTTCCCACCCCGCTACGCTCTTTCATTCAGTTCCCCTGTAGTGGGTCATCATTGGCGCGTTCATTATTGTATTGCTGCGGTCAGCTACCGATCCAGATTCTCCAGCAACTGCTCGTGTTTTTGACCTTCAGACAACTTGCAACTGGATTTATGATTTATCGGCATTCAGATATTAGATAACTCGAAGGTGTATTATCTGATAGCAATTTTGCGTATGATTCTGCACATATTTTTTTGATGTAATGTACTTCGCGGATACTTGAGCTTGTAAAAACCAAAATAAAAATCAACATTTCATGTCTTGCCATTACTACAACTCATGCTGAACAAGGTCGCTAGCGTCGCCATGGCGCACACTCCTGGTAGGCGCGGTTCTCGCCCATAGGGGCGCCAAATTTTTTTCGGCACAGGCTCAAATCTAGGATATCTTAGAAGCTAGAGCGCTGAAATCATAGGATGATGTTCGTCGTCCAAGTAGGTGTTAATG